TTGCCTGGATTTCTACCTTGGGCTCCCTGATGAACTGTGACCTGGGAGATGTAAGACAAATAAACCCTCTCTTCCCCAAGTTGGTACTGGTCAGAGTGTTTTGTCACAGCAATAGAGAACAAACTAAGACACACACACACACACACACACACACACACACACACACACTCAACCTGAAGAAAGAACTACATTTACCTCTGGCCTGACGACACATTTTTTTATGGCTTCTACAATTCATTGTTGTGCATGTTTGTATGTGTAGAAAAATCTACATCAGCTGTAAGATCTTTAAAAACTTACTTAAGTTGCCCTCCACAGCCAGAATAGATCCAGGAAGACAAGAAACCCAAGTTTCTTTATGAATTAAGCTGTGAATTACAGCTTGCCTAGTGTTCTGGGATGATTTCTGTTTCTGTTTCCCCCCAAAAGTATAACATGTAGGAATGCAGTGTTAGGCAATCTTGTGCCATTTTCTGGTGTGCCACATGAATTAGTTCCCCAGGTGTCTCTGGTGTTACTTGGTTTTGAGCCCTCTTGACTGAGCAGGACTGGTCTGTTGCAGGGACCTGTGTTGTTTGAGGATGTGTCTGTGGCCTTCACTCAGAAGGAGTGGCAGTTGCTGGATGCTGCCCAGAGGCGTCTGTACAGGGAGGTGATGCTGGAGACCTACAGACACCTGGAAGCAGTGGGTAAGTTTTAGGTTTGGGGGTGGAAAGATTGTTCAGGAGTTAAGAAGACTTGCTGCTCTTGCAGAGGACCAAGGTTCAGTTCCCAGCACCCACATGGGGCAACTCACAACCACCTGAAACTCCAGCTCTAGGGGATCTGACACCCTCTTCCAGTCTCTGCAGGCACCTTCACACAAGTGCACAAGTACAGGGTCTTTCACTAGATGCCTGGCTTAGCCATTGGCCTGAGCAGCAACAAGGTGAACAGATGTGTCCCCTAGGGACTTAGCCACTGACTTTACTGAAAGATACCTGAGCCCCATCACTGGGCGCCTCTGCCTGAGCCCTGAACAGCCTTGCCAAGCCTTCTGTTATTTCCCATCACAGGCTGCCATGTAACCAAACCTGAGCTGATATGCAAACTGGAACAAGGAGAAGATCCATGGCTGATAAAAAGGGACCTGCCAAGTCTCAGCCTTATGGGTGAGTTGAAGTCAGGTAGAAAAAGGAAGGCCTGAGCTGCCAGGTCAAGGCTTGGTTTCTTTGGAGTGCATGAGTGGCTTGGTTGATAGAGTACTTGCCTGGTGTGGGGGAAAGCCCTGGGTTTGATCCCCAGCACTGCATACACTGGGCGTGGCGGTACATGCCTGGAATCCCAGCATCCAGAAGGCAAAGGCAGGAGGACCAAACATTCAAGGTCAGTCTGGGCTATGAGAGACTATCCCAAACAAAAGTAACAAACAGCAACTAAGAAAAGAATGTCTTTGAGAGGCTCTGGGTTTTGAAGTGATAAAGAGAGGTGCTCACAAGCCTCAGTATCAACCCTGCAACACCACTTCTGTGGACGAATGTTCTTTGTTTCTGTCTGACTTTTAGGGAGAGATTTGCTTGGTTTTCAAGGAACCCAAATGCTCCTTTCTCCAGTCTAGACCTTTCTTCCTGTTTGTCTTTCTGTTCAGCAGTAACTGTCATCCATCTTTCCTCCAGTGTCAGACACCCTGGAAACATGCATGTGTTCGTGTGTTACTTTATTCGACAACTCTTTGTTACTGCCTGCTGCGCACCATACGTTCTAAGCATGGAGAACACAGAGGCAAAACCTCCCCCCAGTCAAGGGGTCCAGGTGGCTGATGGATACTCATGAGTCCTTAGGAGAAGGAGGGAGAAGAGGGAGACCACCTGGTGCTTCGAGCAGGAACACAGGGTACAGCTTTGAATGTAGGGATGGGGTAAGGTTATCTGGAAGGCTTCCAGGCTGTGGGAAGCATCTTAGACAAGAGTGTGCTTGGTATAATGAACAGCAGCAGAAAAGTCCATGGACTGAGGTGGGGGTGAGTGAGGATGAAGAAGCAAGAATGTCAGAGAATCAGCTGGGGTGTTCACAGGCGTGAGGACTTCTCACTTCACTGAGTGAGGCGATAGATAGGTAAGGAAGGGAATTGGCCGTGGATAACCTCTGTGCCCTGTGTTTGGAGATCAGGGAAGTAGACTACAGCACCCCAGCAAGGGAGATTGAAAGGGACCACCATCCAGGATGGTGGGAGAGAACCAGAGATGGTGTCCCAGAAACCACGGGAACAGTGTTTGATGGAAGGGGGAGTTACCGCATGAAGATGAAAGCGTGAAGTTGGCACTGGCCTGGCTCTTCATGTAAATTATCCAACAGCCATGAGGGAAATGAAACCAAACCTCGGCTCCAATTTCAGTGGAGGGTGGAGGCAGCAGAAAACCCAAGTACAGAAAGAAAATTGAAGATGGAAAAACGTCCAAAACCAATGAAAACCAGGCTTACTCATGGAAGAAGGGTAGAAAGAGTCATGCAGACCCGTGTTCTGAAAAATGTGTCAGGATGTAGTAAATAGACAGTATTTGCCTGTACCTTTTACCACAGAAGGAACTTAGAGTGAAGACATTCTTTAAGCTATTGTCCTGGAGGATGCTTAGATTCTAAGTAGAGCTAAAAACAGAATGTACACACAGTAAGTGAAAAGCCTGGAGGGCAGGTTTGTGGTTAGAAATGAACAGATTATGAAGCCAAGACTTGTAGCATGGTCCTGTAATCTCGGCTCCTTGGGAGGATGAGGCAGGAGAATCAGAAGTTTAAGGCCAGCCTTGGCTATAGGGCAAGTTCAAAGCCCAGCCTAGCAATTTAGTGAATCTCAAAATATAAAACAAAAAGAAGATGCCTAGTACCACAAACAGGAGGTCGGTGGGGAGTAAGAAAAGGAAAAAGGAGAAGAAAGTAGAGGAGGGGAAGAAAAAACGAGCAATTTATGGAATTAAATAGCCTGCTCTGATATGAGCTGACAAAATTGTAATCCTGTGGTATGACTAACTGAACATTATTGGAAGTTAAATGTGAAGACTCTAGTATAAAATCTAAGCATAAAAATCTGTCACATTTTTATTAGCCTATTGAATTTTCTTTGTTGTATCTACTATAGAAAAGTCATGTATTTTTTTTAATTTGCCTTAGGGTCCACACTCAGTTTTGTACATTCTGTGGGTAAGGGCACATGCATAACAGCATGCATCTATCATTATAGTAAAATCAGCATTACAAACCAAGAGTTGAAAAGTTGTGTTCATACAAACCTGCTGCAGGTATGTGTGGCAGCTGATTCGCAGTGATGGGAATGTGAAGGCAACCAGTCTGCTCTTCAGGAGGTGAATGGATAAATAAACATAGTATAACCAGACAGTAGAAATACTCAGCACTAAAAAGCAAGCTATGAAGCCATGAAAGATCTAGAAGAATCTAAAATATATATTCCTTAGTGAAAGAAGCCAACCAGAAAAGGCTTCACACTGCCTGGTTCCAACAGTATAGCATTCTGGGAAAGTCAAAACCTAAGCTAGAAACAAGATTAGTGGTTGTTGGGGACTGGGGTAGGGGCAGGGGTAGCGATGGTGAATTGGCAGAGTATACTGGGATTTTAGGACAGTGAAACTATGCAGTGTGGACCTGAGTGTGGACCCTAAGAACTTCGAGTAAATTTTTTGGCAAAAGTATTTGCTCCTTTTTGGAAGATGATGATAGTTGGGGAGTGTCTTAATTTCTTTTGTTGTTTCTATGATTAAAATACCCTGGTAAAAGCAACTTAAGGGGGAAAAAAAGGTTTATTTTAGCTCATGGTTCAAAGTGACCATCATGACCGGGAAGTCGAGGCAGAAGGCACTTGAAGCAGCTGGTCACATCCATCATCAGGAACAGTAATCAGTGAGTTCAAGGTAGTGCTTAACGCTTTTCTTCATTTTCCTGAATCTATGGCACAGGGAATGGTCCCTGTCACAGTTAACATGGGTCTTTACCCGTCAATTAATGTAATCAAGATAATCCCCCATTCACCCATCTCCCAGGTCACTCTAGATTCTGTTACATTGACAATTAACATTAGCCATCATAGGAAGGTTTTACATATGTGATGGGAAGGTATAGGGGAATTCTCTGGATCTTCTCCATTTTACCATGAACCTAAAACTGCTCCCAAAAAATTAAAGTTTATTTTTAAAAAGTCAGTATTGTGATGGGGCACAACCAGCCAGTAAAGTAAATCAGCAGATTAAGAGGGAAGACTGGACTTGTCACAGGGACAGATTATTCTTCCTTTAGATAGACTAGAAAGATGGCACCATCAATCAGACAAGGAGGTGAGGCGTATCTTCTTGCAAATGTGGCTTGTCCTCTTGTGTATTTTATTATTCACATTCTGCATTTTTCCCCATATCGAAGCTCCACGGAGACGGGCCTCATCTAGGGCTGACTTTTAAACCTGAGAAAGTGAGAGTGATTTCATAAGTTTAGTTGAGAGTTGATGTGCAGAATGGAAAAGAGAAAGATTGGAAGAGTGAAGAGTGGTGTAGTGAGCTTACTGCAGCAACTGGGTCTGATGCTTCCCTTGGGTCGCACGTCCCTTGGGTCGTACTTCTTCCCTTGGGTTGCAAGTCCCTTGGGTCATGCTTCCCTTGGGCACCTTTCAGTCCTCCTTGGCTCATTGCTAGAGTTCCCTGTCTTTGCCTGCACCATGTATCAGTCCTTTTCCTGACAGTCCTTGTTCCTGGCTATGTTTTATTTCAGCTCTCTGTTCATTTGGTAGTCGTGATTTTTTTTTTTTTTTTTTTTTTTTTTTTTTGTCTTCTTGAGATAGAGTCTCCCTGTAGTCTCAGCTGGCCTGGAACTTGCTATGTAGACCAGGCTGGGCTCGAACTCATAGAGCTCCACCTGCCTCTGCCTCCCAAGTGCTGGGACTAGAGGCGCATGGCCGACTGGTAGTCATATTTGTAACAAACCAAAGCTACTGGTATTATTTTCAGCTTTCTCTACCTTTTTCTTTTTTAAAAAAATATTTTATTAAGCTTTTGTACATTTTGTACAACAGTTCTTAATCAAACTTAGACCCCCTGCCCCATCCGTTATCCCCACCCCTGCCAGACCTCACGCATTCTGCCATACATGTTGTCCTATCAAGTCAAGCATTTGTACCCAGATGTCCTTTGGTGCAAGTTCATCCACTGGGGTCTAGTCAGCCCATCTAGAGATCATAAGTAAGGTCCACTCTCCCTCGCCCAGTAGTAATCAGTCTCCAACAGTTCCCAGGCTAGGGACGGCCCACCACCCATTTCCCGTGCTCCATTCTGGACCCTTGTCTAGTCTCTGCCTTTTTCTACTACAATATGTATCTTTGTCTTTGTTCTCACATCACCCTGTGATGAAACATCTGCTGAGGATGGCTGCCTTCCCAGGAAAGTGTGGCTGAGACCCCAGAATCAAGTCAGCATAAAGCATTTTGTAGGCCCCTTTCCTTTAAAAATGTGTTAAGGTTTATAATATATGATTAATTTTCCTTTTTTCCAGAAGTCCAGAAATCCAATAACATGGAAACAATTGAAGAAAATGAAGACAAACACTTCAGGCAAGCTTTACTTGTTAACAACAAAATGCTAACCAGGAAGAGAAGTAAGGCTCTAAGAGAAATCGTTAATCTGGCCACAAACCCAATGCTCTCAAGTGAAAGAATCTTTAAATGTCACTCACTTGAAACAAGCTTGAAAAAGCTTCCAGGATTCACTACAGATAGTAGAAACTATGTAAGAGAAAAGTCTGATGGTTCAAGTGGATCTAAGTTCCTTGATACGAAGCATGAAAAATCTCATACAGTGAGCGAAACCTGTGAAAATGATCAAAAGAAGGAATCCCACAGTCCTAAGGAAGACCTTATGCAACATCAGAAGAATTTGTCTTTGGAACAACTTCCCGAATATAAAAACTGTGGGAAGACCTCACACAGAAATACAGCTTTTGTTACACATGAGAGGGCTCACACAGGACAAGAGCCCTCTGAGAGTAGCAAATACGTGCAGGTCACCATCCACAAGTTAAAGCTCAAGTCTTTTCTAAGAAGCCTTAGGGAAAGGAAGGCACATGAGGCCAACAAAAGTGGGAAATTCTCATGCATGAAGTCAAAATATGCACATCAAAGTACTCACATACAGGAGAATCACTACAGATGTAATACACTTGAGAAATCCTTTAATGAGAAATCTGATCTTACCAGACATCAAAGAAGATACCCAGAAGAAAAACCTGATGAATGTGAGAAAGCCTTAAGAAAGCCACCCCATGTTCAAGATGAGAAAAGCCAAGCAGGAGAGAAGATTCATGACTGTAGAAAATGTGGGGAAACCTTTCACGAAAAGTCTCAATACGAGAGAACTTGCACAACAGAAAAACCCAAGGGTGCCGATAGCAAAAGAATCTTAAAGTCACACCTAACTCCAAATCAGAAAATTAGCACAAGAAAGGAAAACTGCAGAGGAAATAAATGTGAGAAATCCTTTCTCAAGGAATCGAAATGCACTCAACAGCAGCGAACACCCTCGGAGCAAAAACCTGATGAGTGTAAGGGAAGCGGGAAGTCACACCTCGGTGAAAATCAAAGCAGTTCCAAAGGACAGAAAACCTATGAATGTAGTAAATGTGGGGAATGCTTCCATAAGAAAGCAGACCTCACTCAGCATCAGAGCACACACACAGGGAAAAAACCCTATGCATGCAATGAATGTGAGAAATCCTTTCTGGTGAAGTCCAACCTCACTGAACATCAGAGAACTCACACAGGAGAAAAACCGTATGAATGTAATGAATGTGGGAAGTCATTCTGCCAGAAATCTGCCCTCACAGTCCACCAGAGAACTCACACAGGAGAGAAACCATATAAATGCAACGAATGTGGGAAAACCTTCTGTGTGAAATCAAACCTTACTCAACATCAAAGGACTCACACGGGAGAGAGGCCATATAAATGTAATGAATGCTGCAGATCTTTCTGTGTGAAATCCAACCTTGTAGTGCATCAGAGAACTCACACAGGAGAAAAACCCTACAAATGTCCTGAATGTGGGAAAACCTTCTATGAAAAGTCAGCCCTCACAAAACATCAGCGAATTCACACAGGGGAAAAACCCTATGAATGCAACGAGTGTAAAAAAACCTTCAGCCAGAGGTCAGCCCTTACGAAACATCAAAGGAAAACACACAAGAAGAAAACTTTCACCAATCCCTCCCATGTACAGAAAGCTGAATTAACAAGTGAAGCTCATTGATCCTGACAAAAATCAGAGGACAGGAACCCTAACATAACAACACATTCAGGAAAGTATTCACTAACAAGTTGTAAGTAATAGAAACTAGAGAGTTAATGTAGGAGTGGAACAATAAGAATAGTTCAATTGTGTGAATGTTTTCAATAGGTACTCAAAATTGTTGAAAGAAAATATATGATTTTAAGAAATATGGAGAAAAATGTCCTTATGGACATATTGTCTAACTAGAAGTTATATTTCAGATGTGATAGCAGAGTCATTACACAAAAGATAACAGAAAGTCTTCTGTTCTTAATAGAAAATGAAATGATCTTTTGTAAAAAGAATGAGTAATTTAAGTAATTAATACAGTTGTAATAAACAGCCACATTTGGCTTAGCCTTCTTGATTCTTTTCATCATCTTTTCCCCTTTGTTTCTTAGTAATTTATCCAATTTTTAATAAAAATATCTTTTAAAAATGTGTGTATTTATGTGCATCTATGTGAGTTCATGTGTACCACATGCAGAGGCCAGAAGTTGTTAGGTCCCCCTGGAACTGGAGTTACAGGCAGTCTGGGCCACCTAATATAGGTATTGAGAACTGAACCTGGGTCCTCTGTAAGAGTAGTAAGCCCCCTTTATCTAATCTTTTTTTTTTTTTCTTTTCTTTTTCTTTTTTTTTGAGACAGGATCTCCCTGTAACCCCAGTTGACCTAAAACTCACTATGTAGACCAAGCTGGCCTTGAACTCACAGAGATCTACCTGCCTCTGCCTCCTGAGTGCTGGGATTAAAGGCGTGCATCACCACACCCAGCAATCTAATTTTTTAAAATAATAATGTGGATGCTGACCGAGCTAGAAAAAATAAACTGGAAAAGACGAAAAAGCAAAGTATAGGAATTAATTTTTAAAATGAAAAGAAGCCAATAAAAGTTCATGCAAATAATATGAATATAGTAAATTCCTACATTAAAGACAGAGGTAGTCTAACAGTGACTTCAAAACTAAATCCAAGGGCCAATAAGATGGTTTAGTAGGTAAAGGTGCTTGCTGTATAAGTCTAATGACCTGAGTTTGATCCCTGGAACTCATGTAAACGTAGCAGGAGAGAAATGGCTCCACAATTATGGTGGCATGAACATGTTCTTTCCCACACCCACACACAATAATAATTAGTAAAACAAATTTTTTAATTTTTAAAAATTTATTATTTTTATCTTCTGTGTATGTGTGTATTGCCAGCATGTATGTAAGTGTACCCATGTTGTGCAATGCCTGTGAAGGTCAGAAGAAGGCATCAGATCCCTTGGAACTGGAGTAAAGGACGGTTGTTAGCCACCATGTGGGTGCTGAGAATCAAACCCGGGTCCTCTGCAAGAGCAGTCAGTGCTCTTAAGTGGTGAGCCATCTTTCCAGCCCATAAAATGAAAATTTTAAACAACAAAACACCTAAATCTAACAATAGGCAATAGGTGATGTGTTAAGTAATTTTTTTTTTTTTTAATCTAAAGTCAGTTCACAAAGGGAGTTTGAAAGTTAAAAGATGGGGCTAGAGAGCACTGGCTATTCTTGCAGAAGACCTTGAACTCAAATGGCAGCTAGCAACCATCTAACTCCAGTTCTAGTGGATCTGATGCCTTCTGTCCTCCACAGGAGCTGCATGACATGGGTACACTTATATACATGCAAGCAATACACACATACACATAAAATAAAAATAATAAAAAAAAAATTTTAAGTTAAAAGATGAGCCAGGCGTGGTAGCTCACGCCTTTAATCCCAGCATTTGGGAGGCAGAGGCAGGAGGATCTCTGTGAGTTCAAGGGCAGCCTGGTCTACATAGCGAGTTCCAGGCCAGCTGGGGCTACAGGAAGACCCTGTCTCAAAAAGACCAAAAAAAAAAAAAAAGTTAAAAGATGACTCTCTCTCGCTCTCTCTCTCCATATATATATATATATATCCAATAAAGTGTGACTGTGTAATGTCTTATGATTATGTTTTTTTAATTTAGCATCTATGAAGATTTGTCTAAGGCTTAAAAAAATCCTATTTATATCTGGGTATGGTGGAACATGTTTGTAATCCCAGCATTCAGGAAGTGAGGCAGATGGATCACAAGTTTGAGGCCAGTCTTGGCTGTGAATTGAGATCCTGCCTCAAAACAAAACAAAAAACTCAAACCAAACCAAAACAACAACAAAAGCCCCCTGTGCACTTGACACAGAACAAGTGTGTCCAAGTGTGGATGGTCCCCCAGGAAGGGTAGCTGTCTTCCTGCTGTAATAGAAGTCCCACTGGGCATGTGGCCATCAACTGAGTTCTTTGTTTCCTAGCCTACTTTGCCATGAGAAGGAACAAGAAGGAAATGGCACCTACCTGTCCATTGTAACTCTTTTTTTGTCTTCTTGAGACAGGTTCTCCCTGTAGCTGCAGCTGGCCTGGAACTCTCTATGTAGAGCAGGCTAGTCTTGAACTCACAGAGATTCACCTGCTTCTGCCTCCCAAGTGCTGGGAGTAAAGGTGTGCACCACCATGCCGGGCTTCAACTTTAGCCCTTCATTGGCAGAGAATTTACAGAAAACTCTGCAAAGTATGACAGGGCAGAACACTTCAAAATGTATGTGTATACACACACACACACCCACACACACACACATACACACAGTACTGGAGATTGAATCTGGGGCCTCACACATGCTAACGAATGTTCTACCTGTAAGCTATATCCCAAGCCCTCTTTATTTTCCTCTTTTGAGACAGAACTTCACTAAGTTGTCCAGGCCAACCTTGAACTCACTTGCTAACCTAGGTTGGTCTTGAACTTTTGATCCCTCTGCCTTTCTCTCTCTCTACTGAGTAGCTGGGATTACAGCCCTCTATGTCTCCAGCTCAACTTGTCTGTTTTAATGGATGCTGCTCCCTTGGTGGTCATTTCTAGTAAGAAACCTTTTAAGATATCTGCTTTTGAGGATGGTGAACAGGGCATAAATTAGGGCAGCTTGACCTTTTATCTTGACAGGGCATCCACAGAGGCCAAAGATGATAAATATGGGATAGGTGTGGGTCCATTCCAGATGGGGAGAGAGAGAGAGAGCACGTCTGTGGAGACAGTTGAGTTGGGTTTCCCTCCCTCCTCCCTCCCTCCTTTCTTCTTTCTTTCTTTCCTTTCTATTTGCTTGTTTTGAGACAGGATTTCAAAAGTTTCAGATTGGCCTTGACCTCCTGATCCTCCTGCCTCCACCTCCCAAGCACTGGGATAACAGGTGTGCACCACCACACCCAGCCTTCCCCTCCTGTCATTTCTTACAAATGCTACATGTATATGAGCCTATAATTGTCTCAAAATGAATGTTTAATTTTAAAAAGGAGCACAGAGTGAACACACAAGGGACAGCAGGTTCTTTCAGGAGGGGAAAGAGAAAGGAACAAGTCTACACCCCATGAAGCTGTGGGCACTGGCCTTCTGTTCGTAGTGAGCACAGAGTTTTAAAACCACACGTGTGCCCAGCATGATTGCCTTTTCCAGAACAACTTCATTGCAGAGTCTAGGTCGCCACTGTTTGATAAAGGCCTGCTAAGTTCCTATTTGGAGAAACAGCATCAAATTCTGAGAACTCAGTCCTCTTAGGGATTATTTTCTTCTCGTCCACCTCCACATTCACATTAAAGCTATACATGGGGTGGTCAGTACATCGATGTACTGTGCAGGCAGCAGTGAAGGAGGGTGTGGCTTCTCCATCCAACCTTGATCTTGTCTGTCTATCCGGTCTCCTGCTCCTCAAGCTGCAGGTACATAGAGCTCACTGGCCCCAGGCACACATGTCATACAGTGTTCCCATGAATATTGTCTGGGCCTAAAGGGGACTTTAGGCACTGACTCAGTGCTTCAGCCCTGTTTTAGTCCATTTGGTGCTGCTATAATAGAATACCTGGGGCTGAATTATTTACAGTGACTAAAAATTAATTTCTCACAGGTCTGGAAGCGAAGTCCAAGACAGAGAGGAGGCACCTCGTGAGGGAGAG